TCTTTATGCTCGGAATCAACACTGACTTACGGGTAAAAGTACAGAAAAGGCAGTCGACACAAGTAGAATTGAAGATGATCCTGAGGAGAATTATGCAGACCCAGCGATATGGACACATATCTTACGCTTCCGATTGGAAGCTAGTCGGAGGAACTACGCGATTCAGATGCTCCGACTTGATTTGGACTTTGAGGCCAACAAAAAGTGCTTTGGGCGGCGAGATGTGTATCGAAGCCGCGGGAGATGTACTACGCGGTCGTTTCGCAGTCGACGAATCCGCCCCACTTACCGTCGGAAGAGGAGCAGAAACGCTAGCAGCCTGAGAGGGCCCCGACAAGGGAGGAAGTGGATCCGAGACGGCCGCTGTCACCAGCGCCAGTCGTCGACGTGCCAAATCGCGCTCCGACAGGCCGCGATCGCGCTCCAGGATCAGCTGTTGCTGCTGAGTTTGGGCTGCGGAAAGTTGATCCTGGAGTTTCGCGGTGGTCGCACCTGCTTTCTTCAATTTGTCACCTTGATTGACAATAACAAGTGAATATGGAGTTACTAGCAAGGGCTAAAAGAGGATCCACGTACTCATGCGGCGAAGCTTGGATTCCAGCTCCGTTAGCGCACGCTCGGCATCCGCCCACTCGGTAGTCGCCTTGTCCCGCTGGAGCTCGCTGTCTGCCAGTTTCGTTTGGATCTCGTCCCGCAATCGAGTCATACGCACTAATTCTTCAAGCGCGTAATCTCGTCCGGCAGACGCCCTCTCGAGCGACTCCTTGGTGTCTTGCAACTCCTCAGAGAGTTGAGCCAGGGCTACATCCGGCGACGAGGGAGGTGTATTTGGCGCGGGGGACCCTCCACGCGCCGACCCTAAGGCGGATCCGTCATGGGCGGATCCCACATAGTCGTTGGTCACCACCTCCTCCTGGGTCAAACGCAACTCGTCACGGAGGCGGTCCAAGCTCACATCCGCAGCTGCCCTAGCAGTCTGGGAATCCTCCAGATCCCGCTCGAGGTCGTGGATCCGGGATTGGAGTTGGTGGATCTCAGATCCGGCGAGTGCCATCTCCCTAAGGAGATGGTCGTTGTCATCTCGCATAACGTCTCGTTGACGGGAGGCGCGATCCAGCCGTCCGGTCAGGTCGCGGATCTCGACCGCCTGATCAGCCAACAGGAGTCGCAGGTCCTGCGACCGAGAGGCCGCACGGTGCTCCCACCCCTGGATCTCCATCGCTTGGTCATGGATTTGGGCCCGCAAGGTCTGAAGTTGGGTAGTGTGTAGAGACGCAGCTTGGTCTTGGGCATCTTGAGCCGTCTGGAGCTCCGCCGTCAGGGTTTGCACCTGATCGGAAAGAGCCTGGGCTAGAACCCGCAGATCGGTGGGCGACATGGAAGACGGACTGACCGGAGGTGTGGTGGATGGGACCTTGCCCGACGATTTGCCGGTACGCTTGGCGGGAGACATGTGTCGCGAAGGGGAGAAAGCGGCTGTGGATGCTGGTGATGCACGTCGTGGACGCTGTTGTGCAGCGCCGACCACGTACAGGAGGCGATTGTGGTGAAGTGCTTTCTCAGAAATAAGAGAATGGTCCTGACGCGGGGTCACTATCCCGAATCAGTGACAATTTCAAGTGATTATAGAGGATTTGGGTTGTTTGGCACGGGTGCAAGTTGCCTGTGGTGGATTAGCCATGGCGAGCAGCACCCCGTATGGAATGACGATGGATCTGATATGAGCGATGTACGAGAAGGCAAGATCCACCAAGACTTACCTCGGATCCACCCTTACCTGGATTCACTAAGATGGATATGGGATATACTATACAAGAGTGGATCGAGTGTGGATCCTATGAAGGAAGGATGGTCGGTGCCCTCTAAAGGTGGATCTAGTAGCCACGGCTAATGAAGAGTCAAGATCCACCGCGAGGTACCCCGGATCCCATACTTCCGAGTTCGGGTCCAAGGAGGGAGGATCCCGCCTGGAGGGACCTGGATCCAGGGTATAGGGATGAGGGATACAGTGGATCTCGGACTTTCGTGGGACAACGGAGATCACAGACGGTTGCGAAATGATGTTGGATGATTGGAGAGCTCGGATCCACGGCGAGTGTACCATTACAGTGAGGTGGATCCAAGCGACCTGGATCCGGATGAGTGTACCCATAATAGGGTGACCATGATGATTACGTCATATATCCGGTGGATCTGAAGATAACACAGCTGGGATGATGGGTCAAGGGAAGAAGGGACATGCAGCCGAGCCTGGTAAGGGATTTAGCAGATGAAAGACATAGAAGGTAGAAACCCAGGCAGGTATAGGCTTAAATATCACTACAGACCCCAATTTGCACAGTAACACGCAAGTGCCTTCCTGCCCTCAAGAACCGGAACTACATTGGCCGTACGAGCTCGGAGAAGGTTGGGAATTGCGAATCTAGTGTTGGTAGTGATAACTGGATAATACATTGGCCAGATCCTACAACCTAGTGAGCTTTTCCTTTACTTGTGCAGATCCGACAGGTTAACCGAATTTACTACTTGGTCGGTTACACCCTAGGGGCTCTCAACTCTCAAGATCCCGTCACAGGAGGCGGCAAGTACGACTTAAAGGACAACACAAAGGAAAGGGAACACACCCGCAAGGCAACCCTACGGCCAGATCCACGATCTAGGCCCCGGATCCATAAGCTCGAATATTCGCTTAGGATACGGAACCATCCACGGACGCAGAGTGAAGATTTTCCACTGCTGCTCCACCCCATCCCCACGTCTCGCCAAGACACTCAAGCTTCACCACTTGAACTCTTCGGAAGTTACCGAGAGAGCAGATCCCGCCCTACCGACGGGTACACAAGTGAGGAAAGTTCAGCAGAACACGGATCATCGGGGGACCCCCTTCCGTTAGTCGGTGTCTGGGGCGCAGTGGTAAGTTGGGATCTGGCAATCTCCGCAGAATTAGCTGATCCCGCTACACAACAGTAATTCCCAGTCTAAGTCGAACG